ATAGTCTTAAGCTGCTTTTCCAACATTTTTCTACTATTGTAGCATTAAATGAGGTTGAAATTGGTCAAGCAGCTGGTGAAGTTAGCCTTTTACTTTAGATGGACAATCATGCCAAATTTAAAGTTGATTCATAAAGTTCATGGTTGTAATGTAAAATGTTCAAAGCACTGTTCATAGATACTAAAGGAGTAGCTAACATATTTTTCTTTGTCCAGATATTGGAGAGTGTGGAGGCAAACTGTCAGAAGGACAGAAGCAGAGCCTCGCCATCATCAGAGCTCTGGTTCGAGATCCCCAGGTCGTCATCCTGGACGAAGCCACAAGCAAACTGGATGTAGATGCAGAGAAGACGGTAAGTACAAAACACGGTCCTGGAAATGATGCAGATGCTTCTGGAGATCAGATTGTCTCATTGGGACAAGGTCAGAACGCAGGCACAAGAAGTCTGGAATTTAATTTCAATAGTTTCCATGCCTGGAAAAGCTTGAAAAAAGAAGACTGAGGTTCATCGTGTTTCAGACCTTTTCCTGTTTTTCTAAGATAAGAATGAGATTTGGTCAATAAAAGCATTTGGTTCAAGCCAAGTGTTTTACACACTTAGCAGCTGAGAATAGCTCATCCTTAACAAGACCCAGTTTCACACTCAATTCAGCCAGATTAAAATGAATTGATGCATGTTTATCACAAAAAAGTAAAAAATAGAAAATCCTTAAATAACTTACTGTAGATGCTTTTCCATTTCAAATGTGAGCAAGATTTGTTTTGATATTCCACTAAGACAAAAAAAAAGAGAACAGTTTTCCATTGCTGTATATTCACATTAAATAGGAAACATATTTAAAATTTAATGTGAATATATTTGCATGTTCATTAATATATTTCCATGTTCATTAAAAAATATGCTGGCTCCATAATCCTTCTACCACTTCCTGTTGTCTTTTTTGTCTTTTCCAGCAGTAGTAACATCTGGTTATTCATCACATGAAAAAGTGTTTCCATTGCAGTTTTGTGAAATAAACTAGTTTTAATTCAGCCACAGAAACCACTTCTTTTGGTGATTTGTTTTTGCACCAAAAACTTGTTTTTTGTTGCAAAACCAAGTTTTTGCACTTGGTTTTTCCTGGTGCAAACACTTTTTAACATAATTTTTTTTTTTCAAAACTGCCGTGTTTCTTTTAAGCTAATTTATTTTGGAAATTCCAGTTTGCTCAATTTTATGGTCAGTGGAAATGCAGCTAGTGATTCTAATTTCTAATCTCTTACTAACACTGACCATTTTAGAAAAAACAGCTTTTACAAATGATGTGAAACAGTCTTACTTTATCCTGAACTAACTCACTTGTATTCAAGTCAATTAATAACAATTAATTCCACATAAAAAAAATCTGATTTAAAAATAATTATTTCTAAGTAAGCGTTTAACCATAACAAGTTCAACGATTGTTTGTGGCTTAAATTGCCCCATTTCTTGGGAAACATGTCAGCGCACACAAGCGGACTCACTGGCTAACTGTCAGCCAATCCCATTAAAGCTGTGGATCCCCAGTAAGAACTGACCAATCCAGCGTCGCTCAGCCCTTCCTGGTGTCATTCCCCAGGTTCTGAACGAGATTCTGGCTCGCGGACGGACGGTTCTGATCGTGGCTCATCAGCTCAGCATTGTGGAGAAAGCGGATCACATCATTTTCATGGAGGACGGTTCGATCCGGGAGGAGGGGACCCATGAGGAACTCATGAACAAAAAAGGATGCTACTTCCGTTTGAAGGAGGAGCTGTTTTCTGAAGAAGACTTGTAAAACAAAAATAAATAAAAAAACAACGACTCACAAGCACTTCTCATCTTGTATTTCGCCAAAAAGCTTCTGTTGTAAATAACAGGTTGGCTGAGGTTGTATATTTAATAAACACAGAACAGTGACATCAGGCTGTTTCAGGAAGGGAAATGTGATTGTTTTTTATGTTTCTTGTTTGAAGTGCATTAAAATAGTTTGACAAAAAAGCTGAAATGATTGATGTTTTCTTGTCTTTACCACCCAAGGCGATGTTTACAGACTGTCATCAGTGTAAAATAAAGGATGTGAATATGTACATTTTGGTAACCAACTGTCACTTGTTATTTTTGTAAAATATTATGATTTCATGCAAAAACATATCTAATAATGACGAGTTGTTTCTGTGAGCCTCTTGCATTTTTTCATACTTTGTTCCATTACAACAACAAACCTATTTTTTTATTAACCTATAACCTATAAAATCTTATTATTTTATCAAGAGGCACAAAGTAATGCACCACTGTGAAGTTGAGCTAACATGTACTGCTTCTTATGGAATAAGAATAAAAGTTTGAAAGTTCACACATTTTTCATCAGCCTTCCCGAGTCAGTACTTTCTAGAACCTCTTTGTTTTTCCATTTCCAGCTGCAAGTTTTATGTCTCTGCACTCTGTGCACACTCTGTGCACATCTACACACTAATTTATCTCCATTCTTCTTTCTCAAACAACTAAAACTCAGTCAGATTGGATGGAGAGCATCTGTAAAATATCTTGTCCAACGTTGGATATACGTCTGGGCTTTGACTAGACCACAGTAACCCCATATCGATGCTTTGATTTAAACTCTTCAGTGGTTGCTCTTGTTGGATTGGGTCGTGTTTGCAGTTTCAAGCATTTGTCTATCAACTGTGGAAAGAGTTTCAGCATGTCTTCTGCTGCTCCCATCATTTTTCACTCTGTAGTTTTAGTCTTCCTTTCTCTCTGGCCAAGTGCTGCTGTCTCTTGTTTCTTTGCAGCGCTTGTACAGCTCCCCCAGCTGGACGGGGCTATTAACTAAAATCAGTCGAGGCGCGTAGGCCGACCTGAGAGATCAAGGTTCGAGCGGCACATCTGGAAGCGGCTTACAGCCTGAAAGCAGCAGAAGTTTCCCGGGCGGCTCGGCTCAGTCTGCAGGGTTCCAGGTTCTCTCTCTCTCGACCCGCGGAAAGGTTCGGAGGTTTCGTGCGTCTGGGCGCGGCGAGCGATCTGCGGCTGCACACCATGGTGATCCCCACCGCTGGGTTTTATTCCCAGTTCCTTCGGAGGACCGCTGCTCTCTCCTCTCCTCTGAAGGTTCTCGGAACGCCGTGGACACGTCAGCCGGGACGAGCCGCTGCAGCTCGGTGAGGACAGCCAGACCCAGGGCTCTGTTTGCAACTTCGAGTCAGAGCTCGTGTGCGGAAAGCAGGGGGATTATTGTCGTCATATTTGTTTACTTTCTTCTTACGAAACATCGTCTCGGACCTTTTGGCGGCCGCTGAAGAAGCCCTCTGCTAAACAGGCTTCCTGCATATTATGCAACTTAAAAAATAAATAAATAAATACATACATAATAGCATAAATAAAATCTACTGAAAGCAAGAAAGACAGGGCGGAGACGGGCCGACTCACCCCCGTCCCCGGAAAGGGATAAAAACACATCTGTCAAACTGTTTTAGTTCCAAGCTGCAGCGGTTCTTATTTCACTGAACTGGATCCTCCTGGTTCTGAATTCATGTTCTGTTCTCCCGCCAAGCGCTCCCCACAAACAGCACTAAACAGGTTACATGTTGCACATCAGCGACATTACAAGTGAGAAGTCTTGGTCGACTTGCCATGAATATTGTTTTTAAAAAAATCTGTAGAAGTGAAATAAGCCTTTTTTTCTCAGTCTGTTTATTTAAAGCTCCTCCTATATCAGCTCTTCATCTCTTGTAGCCAACTCTTGTCCTATAAGTGTTTAAACTGTCACATCGTTTAGCTGCAGAGTTCCTCTTTCTTTCTGAATGAACTGCTCCATTTTTTAAACTCTTGTCTCTTGAATACTTGAATGGTCTTTGCTCTTTTTGCCTAAATTACTGCGTCAGTGCGACGTGGCATGGAAGGCGATCAGCTTGTGGTTGAAAATAAAAGCCCAGGTTACTTTAACAGTGTCTTTTCTAACTATCTGGATTGTTGGATTTGACATTAACTCTGTAGGTCGTTTATGTGGTTGAGGACAGGCAAGTCTGATCATTGAACCAACTTTTGGTACTTTTTACAGTGGAGGTCAGTCCCATTGTAAAAAGTGGTGTGTTATAATCTGCTATGACATCATAGCAGATTTATGGCTGCTTTGATATCAGCCATAAAGCTTGCCAGCAGAAGGACACATGAAGTGCTCCAATTTTTCCTGGAAGACGGCTGCTTTGACGGTGCACTTCAGAGAAAACGTATTGGCGCAGCTCTTTCTTTTCTTCCACACTTTTTCCTTCCACTCAACTTTCCATAATTATGCTGGGAGAAAACACTCTTTAGACAAGCAGCTTCTCCAGCAATGACATTTTGTGCTTTAATCTCTTTGTGGAGGACGTTGAATCAATGTCTGTCTTCTGGACATCTGTCCAATCAGCAGTCTTCCTCCATGAAACTTTTGCAGCTGTTTTGAATGAATTAGCTGATTAGAATGTGACTCCCAAGAGTTTCTAAGAAATATTTTTGAGACACTTTTCACTTCTATGTTCAAGCCATAATGGTCATCCTTACTAGAAATAAAGGGTTGACATGTTTCACTCTTTGTGATGATTTGACATAAAGTACGAGTTTCACTTTTTGGAGCCATTGAAAAAACACGTTAATTTGAATGGAGTATATGGTTCCAAGTTTTCTTCAGTAAAGTTGCAGTTTTACGTTGTAATCTTGGAGGTTTGCTGAGTTCTGTGGAATCTGTTTATCTAATCTATTGTTTAACCTGCCTTGTTCATCTAGAATCAGGTCCAACTGGACTTTGATGTTGACCTCTCGTCCGCATTTTTTCCAGGCTTTTTACTAAGCTGGAGATAATTGTTCTAGTTTCACCTCTGTCTGCTGAATCAAACACTGGGAACAACGTGGGTCACTTCGAATCAGCTAAAAGTTGCAGAGACAGCAGGAATGTCTCCTGCTTCCTCCTGCCGTGCAGGAAGTAGGGCCTCCTGAATTTTGTCATTTCAAGGTCAATGATTTTGGTGTTTTTTAAAAAAAATGTTTCTATCTATTCCCTCAAACAGTGTTGAACTTTAATATTTCTGTTGTTGGAGCTCTGTTAAGTCTCAAATCAATGGTTGGAGTTAAATAAATCCTATGAGAGGCTTTCAGCCCGATTAGCAGAACATCCTGTTATTGAACCTTATCTTTAATCATTACGGAGGTTTTTCTGTCTAGGGTTTGTTTTCATTTCAGTTTATTCAATTCAGGAACATTTCAATTGTTTTTCTGGTGTTACTTAACATCTGAGATATTTCCTGGCTTAACTTGTTTATTCTAAGTAGATTCTCTTCATGCACTTCATCATCTCTACAGATGCATTTCGTCAGTCCATATTGTTCAGAACAACATGGACTGACGGTGCCATCTTCTCTCTGTGCCTGCTGGTGTGTGAGGCAGAGACAGATAAGCCGGCCAGTGATCTGTGCAGTCTGACCCAGTTGGTTGTGTTTATCTAAACCACTGACTCACCTCCTGTTAGACTTCACTCATACGCATCTGCTGCATCACACAGATTTAAGTATTTTGCTATCCGGGTCCAAAATGTCTAAGCATCTTCTGCCTCTTGTCTCCGGTTCAGGAGCATCCATGTGGACTCTCCTCCCGTCATTCCCACTCTCACCACCAGCTATGTTCACGGCACGTCCTCCACGGCGCTGCTCCAGGACACGGTGGCAGAGGCCCTGCAGAAGTCTGTGGAGCGCTGGCCCGACAGGGAGGCCGTGGCGTTTCTGGAAGACGGAGTCCGCAAAACCTACGCAGAGTTTCAACAAGATGTGAGTCTCTCCAAAAATGTCCTCGTTTCCAAAACTCCAGCTCATAACACACCCAAAGACATTAAACATACCAGAGGAAGACACTGGATGTTTGTAGAAATGCTTATCTCTGGGTAACGACAACGTTACACATTTTCCAGGCATAGTTAACTGATTTATTGCACAATCAAGTAACTATGTTGCCTTCAGATGTTAAAAAAGTGAGGTATATATAAAATATAGCTTAAAAAATGTGACAGTAATTAAACATTTGAAAATTGGGCCTCTGTCTCTTTAAAGACTCCTGCTCTTTCTGAAACTTCTCCTTCAGGAAGTTATCACAACATGGCGCCTCTATTAACCCTTTAACAACATTCTGTGAGGCGGAAGCTCGGAAGATTCAAGTATTTCTCAAACATACATTAAGAATCAGAGCAACAAGGAATGTTTTTGATGAAGTAATAACATTATATCATAATGTAAAGCTCAAAAAAGTCAATTATACTTAACACTGCTCCTTTAAGTGCAACAGAGGAATGAATTAATCCTACATGCAAGTAAAAAGAAGGTTATTTATGTAGCATTTTTCAAGATAAAAATCACAAAGTGCTTTAGAGAAGTTTTAGCTGATCTTTTAAGGAAGCCACTGTGTTTACTAATCTGAGAAATAGAGAAAGGAAATTCCAAAGTCTTGGAGCCACAGAAGAAAAGCTCTGTCTCCTTTAACTTTCAGTTTTGGAGGCAGGAAATCAGCAGGCTTTGCTCACAGAGCCCTGATGGCCGGTGTCTGTCCATGTCGCGCTCTCCAGGGCAAAACAAGGATCCTGAAATGCATTCAGTGATCAAACCAATGAAGTGGCCTTAGCAATGAAGTCAGATAGAAATTACATCTTGAGACAAGAAATCATAAGTTCAGGAATATTTCTCAGGTAACAAACAATTATGTTCTCTGGTAAAAAATAAACATAAAAAAATCAAACGTTTTTTTTCTTCAATTAATTGAAATCTTTCAGTCATCCCGCTTTCAGTTGGATCTGGGAATGTAATGAAGGTTTTCATTACGTGCAGGAAGACAGTTTAAATGTTTTAATTGTTTACTTTGGCTTACCTCAGTTCTTTCCTTATAAGGGTTCTGGGAGAGACCAAATATAGAGGAGGAGCAAAGCACTGTGACTTTTAGAATTTAATAATTGGATTGATATTTATGAGTATTTTTAGAAATGAAATAATTGCTAAGAAATGAAGTGTTTAATATTATGTTGAAGATTTATTGTCTTGTTTGTGTATATGTATTTTGTTTTATCCTGCTTTTTGGGGGCTGTGAATATGTGCAGCCAGGGACTATAAAAGCCGGCAGGTTGCCCACATGTGGGTGTGGCTGCTGTGGGAATGCATTTTTCCCCCTTTGTTTAAATGTTGGTGATTAAACACCTGGTTGGTCTGCACTACATCTCTCTGCCTCAAGACTCCTCTTTTAAAGCCTGCCGCTGAGGGTCATTCTAACAGGGAATTTTAGTTAAATCTGCAATTTCTGTCATTTATTTGGAAGAAAAGAAATCTACAACTGGATACGCACAGTACTGTGAAATAGTATTTATTTTGTCCAGATTTCTTTTGCTTTTTGTGAAGAGTTTCAGATCATCAAAAACAAAACAACATTAAATATTCAAAGATATGATTATATGCATTATTTCCCATATGGAAAGTAACTCCTCTGTAAAACCAACAGCTGTTTGGCATTTGTGATGAAAATAAAACTCGGAAAATTTAAAACAACAGAAATAACTAGAGATATGATTAAAACAGTTAACATAATAGGGCCAAAAACAGATCCTTAGGGAACACCATAAGACATCGTTTGACTAATGCAGATTTTACGGATCTCTCTGAAAGGTAGGATATAAGCCATGGTAAAACAACCCCAGTGAATCCAAAGTCTGTGTCTGTTTAACAGGATGACACGGTGAAATGTGGTCAAAAGCAACAAAACAGAAATAAAGTTAGCAGCCGTCAGAACGTGTCTAGACTTGTGTGGCACAGTTAATGACAAATCTTGTGCAGCATTCAGCAGGTAAAAAGTTAAAGGTTTAAGAACGCTTTAACTTTTTAAAGCCTGACCTCAAGGTCAGGGTTCAAACCTTTATTATTAAAGCTTGTGGCTTTAATGATAAAGCCACAAGCTGCTTTATTATTATTATTATTCTTTAGTGAGCATTATGCCAGGTTGAGCTCCTTTCTGTGTCTCTGCAGGTGGACCGGGCTGCTGCAGGACTTCTGGCTCTTGGGCTCAAGAAAGGAGACCGGCTCGGCATGTGGGGGCCGAACACTTACGAATGGATCCTGTTCCAGTTTGCAACCGCTAAAGCCGGGATTATTCAGGTAAATCCAGGCTGCAGAGGAAAACAAAAACCAACCATTCTAATCACCAACATGTTTTTCTGTGATGAAAAAGGATGTTTACAATAAAATAATGAACTAAATCACGTCCTCAGTTTTCTTTATTTTCTCCAGGTGTCTGTAAACCCAGCATACCAACCGATGGAAGTGGAGTATGCCCTAGGGAAGGTGAGTGATTTAATTTTATTTCAACACATTAATAATCCTGCGTTGGACCAACAGAAATGGGATTCCTTTGAGATGAATTCTGGTTTTGTCTCCTTGCAGGTTGGCTGTCAAGCCATTGTGTGTCCTACAAAGTTTAGGACTCAGAAATATTGCGACATGTTGAACAAGATCTGTCCTGAAATCGCGTCGTCCAGCCCAGGAGACATCAAGAGCGCCAGGTACGAGCCGGCGTTGACACATTTAGTCTTCAAATCTCACATTTTAACAGTTTGTTTTCTTTCTTTCTGATCTTACATGAATTCATAAAGCAGTTTTGGAGGGTTTGTGTGTGTGTGTGTAATGACTCCAGGCTTATTTCTTATCATCAGCTTCATCATGTGATTGTCCCAGATGATATCATGGTGTGTAGTTATAAGCGCTACTACGCTTTAAAAATTAATCGCCTTCTCCCAGATCTGTTGATTATTTGTCTCTTAAATTTGTCAGTTCTTTAACCAGAGAAAGTAGTAAACACACAAAACAATTTTCAAATAATGATTTTAGTCAGTGGAGTATAGCACAAAAGATAGGCATAATTTTTCTAAATGTGAATTTTAAGAGAGTGGAAAACATCAATGAGAAATGTGAATTTCTTCCTTAGTCACAATGTTTAAGGTTTCAGATAAGCTAAATATTCTTCTCAACTCGTCTCGTGTTGTACTCGATTTGATGAGCCGTAAGCTGTGGTTTCTACACGACTGAGAGCACAAAGACAGTTTTGTGTCAAATTGAGCACATGCTATGTCTTTGGTGGAAAATGAGTCCAAATTGTGACACACAAATCATAGTTTAGGGCTAATCTGCCTCCTCTGTGGCAAGTCTTGAAGTTACTGTAGAGACTTTAAATCAAGAGTGCAGATGACATCTGCAAAAAAATGGCGGTTCAACAAAGTATTATGACTATAAATGTAGGTCACACTTTTCAGATTTGTATTTCAGAAAAACACTTTGTGTTCATCTATTACATAAAATCCCAATCTAAGAGGCACCTGAAGATTTTTGGTTATTATGTGAAAAATCTGTAGAGGTTTGAAGACTTTTGCAAAGAACTGCAGATCAATGCGTCATGAAATACTGATTTATTCTGGCTCTTTAAGTTAAATTGTTTGGCCGTCAAAGTTCACATTCAAAAAAGGTTTTGCAAGTTAACATAGTTGACCGATTTTTTTTTCCTCTCAGCTTTGCATGATTGCTCTTGTACATCTATTTGTGTGTTAAAGGTTCACTCAGCCTGTGTTTCAGGTCTGAGTTTATTTTTAGCCTAGTTAATCATATCAAAGTGACCTCCAAACACCCTGCAGTACACGACCTCCTGTGTTATCTTTGATTGTCCTGTAATCACTGGAGGTGACCGATTATGTCGTGATCTGTCCGGGTTATCGGCACGTTAACTGTAGGAACAACCAGCAATCTCTGTGGTGACTCTTACAGTTGTCATTACCTTAAAAACTCAACATATGGAGAATCCAAAAGAACAGAGAACCTCCTCCTTATGGAGCGCTGCCCTTTGACCTCTTACATAAGGCTTTGATTTGTTCAACACCCCCCTCACATCTGCACACTCTTAGAAGGACACACACTGAGCAGATGGTTACTGTATGTTTCTACATGAGCCTGAAAGTTAATGTAGGATTTGATCTGTTTCAACTGCTTGCTTGTTCTTGAAGACTGCAGGTTTTACTTATTTTCTTTAGTCTGTTATGAATCAAAATATGTTTTTTTTTGCTTTGTATTTACCACCATCTAAACACAAATGCAGTCCAGTGTAGGAAAATATCCCCCTGGGGCTGAATTGTCTTGGTAACGTTCCCAGAGAGATGAGATCTGGCAGAGTCCTGAAAGCATTAGAGAAAATTACTTAAAAGCTTCCCTTACAGCCTCTGTTACAAATGTATAAACACAGGATAAGTCTGCCCTTGGTTCTTTGCAATCACAACATTCAGGATAAAAACCATAAGTTTATTTTTATGGTGGTTATTTGTTTGTTTGTTTGTTTTGTTTATCTTCAGAAGCAGCGACTAATTATGAGCGAAGGTCTTACAGCAGAACATATGGTGTACTAAAAAAAACAGGAATGTAACATTTGGTTTTAAAATGATCCCAAATACACAACAAAACTGATTTAAAATGGATAAATCAGGCTGATATCAAGATATCCCTGACTTCAAAAGCAGTTTGTTGTCGGCATGCTGAAAAACTTTGCTGGTTGTAACTTACTTTTGCAGAAACAAATTTTTGGCAGAAGATTGAAAATAATCATCAAGAAGTAGAACTGGTAAGCACATAAAATGCTTTCAAGCATTTATCAAACCTTTCAGTCTGTTCATATCTGCAGTTTTCACCTTAAAACTTCAAACTCCTTCGCCTAAAGTGTTTCAGGAATCCCAGTTTTTTAAAAATTACAACCATGCCGTTTGTGTTTGTTTGGTTTCCCCCTCGTCAGACTCCCAGAGCTTCGCTCTGTGATCCTCCTGGACAGCAGGCAGCCGGGAATGTTTCACTTTGACGACGTGATGCAGGCGGCAGACAGCAGCCATGTGAAGCAGCTGCAGGATCTGCAGAAGAAGCTCTCTTTTGACGACCCGATAAACATCCAGTTCACCTCGGTAATTGTCAAACTATTCCTTCGTGGTAGATTCACCTATTAATCAAAAAAAAAAAACTTAAATACTATAGTTCACTTTCCTCATCCTGGTCCTTACATTCAAGTGAGTTCACAGGGAACAGATTATGCAGGGATTTGTCCAGCAGTTGGGGAGCCGTTGAGAACCGCAGCTTGTAAAGAGGGATGGCGATAGTGAACTAGTGCTGCTTCTCCCCTCGTTTAACAGAGACGGGCCAGTCAGTGCAGAATCTTCTCTCATCACAATGTAGTGAAGCTCTTATATCAGAAAGGTCCTTTAAAATGACTTGAAGCCTACTGGGTGAATTTTCTCTATAATTTCAAAATGTTTATTTTATCATTCCTGGCTTAAAAGTCTTCATGCCTTTTTTATTGTTTTTAATTCAGTTGCCCAAACATCTATTGGGTTCATGTTTCCAAAGCAGGAAGGTGGCTATCAACCAATCAGAGGAATGTTTGTGCATTTTCTCTTTCTTTAGACTTTAGACTTTAGACTCCTTTATTATCCATTAAACTCACATAAAATGGAAATTTATCTTTGGCAATGGCACAAGAAACACACAACACAACACACATCACAGTCGCCACAAAACTGCATGCACAATGAACAAACAAGATCTGTAAAATGAAATCTTGAACTTATAAAAGGGATAATTTGCTAATAACATTTCTGTTTTCAGGGTACCACAGGAGCTCCGAAAGGCGCGACTCTTTCACATCACAACATCGTCAACAATGCCTACTTTGTTGGGAAAAGAGTCGGCTACACCTGGAAGGTGAGAAGGAGCCGTCATGGATGTAATCAGTCCAGCATTTTACAAACAATGTGATATCCATAATTATGACTCGGTTATTCCATTTTTAAACTCAACATGGAAACCAAATTTAGAAAGATAACAAACAATGCAAGTCGTCTTGGTAGACAACTTGGTTGCTGGAAATATTACACTCCTTTTACCTTTTTGCTGATCAGAAATGATCAGCTCTTTAGCTTCTCCTGAAGTCTTTTAAATATAGTTTTATGCATATAAAAACACCACCCAGATTCAAAGGTAAAGTGAAGGTCAGGTGTTATTTATCAAAAGCAAAGAGATTACATTCAGTGTGTCCACCTCTAAGATCAGGAGCTTATTATTTTTTTAAAACTGATGTGGTTTAACACAATGCTATGGTGGAAAACCATTAACAGTATCATAGAAAATTTAAAGTATCAATGTCGGAAGGGTTATATCCAAATGATCTGAAGTCTGTCACAATCTCGAGTTGCAAGCATTTAAAACGCCTATCGGTTCTCGACTGGAGGCAAAGTCCCAGTTAATTCCCCCCAAAGTGAGACTGAGCAATTCCCAAAAAAACAGCAAATCCGTAATCAGCCTCCACTGACCTCATTTCACACATTCATTGTTAAATTAATATATTTTTAAATTGGCAATATTTCTGTAGTAAATGCCACTACACAAAGGTCGTTATCAGGATTGTGTTTAGGGATTATTGGCTCAACCCAGAATTTCCTAACAAATGTGGAACCATTCAGAGGAAAATAACCAGATCTTCCAACAGTATGGATTTACTTGTTTATTTTGCATCTGCAGCCCCACACTCGTGTCTGCGTGCCCGTGCCTCTGTATCACTGCTTTGGCTCTGTTGGTGGAGGGATCGCTATGGCCGTGCACGGCCTCACCCTGGTGTTTCCCTCCGCAGGGTACAACGGAAAGGCCAACCTAGAAGCAATGCACAGTGAGAGGTAATTCCAGAAACAACCAACTGAATTACACACAAAGCACTGGATCTGAACCCTGAATAACATCAGTGTTCTGCTTGGATCTAATTACATCTAATAAAGGAGTAACCTGTACTGGTGGGTCACTGTTGAATTTATGTAGAGCTTTCTTTTGTTTTAATCCTGGTGAAATGAAAATACCTGGGAGTAAATCACTCACCCTACATTTGTTCACAGGTGAGCAAACCGGTTTTTGCCAGGCTCATATTTTCTCAACAGAGAATAAAATGACAGCTTGCCACACACAAGCTGTCATCCACACACTCTGGAAATTTACAGATTACAGGTTTTACAGGTTTTAACAGACTTATCGCCCGTGTCGGGTTTTAGTATTTGAAACCTTAATAATATGAAGGTTTTGTTCTCTTTTGATTTTCCTTTAGCACAGCCAGGAGTTTTGATTACATTTTTCAGTCTGAAAGCAGGACTTCTTGTTGGATAAGAAGAATCTGGTTTCATAGATTTAAGAAAAGATTAAGAAACTTGTTCAGCTTTGTTTTCCAAGCAGGAAGCAGAGTAAAAACAACTCTTTTAAATGTGTGTTTAACTTGTGTTATTTGCCCTTTCTGTATATAAAACCAAACCTGAATATAGCTGAGATGTTCAAATTGATTTGAAAGGACAAGAAAAATCTTCCTGTTGCACTTAAACAAAAAGAAAAGTACATTTCATAGGTCCTTTAATAGATCATACAGAAGTCCAGTCCCTGTTAATACTAGTAACTCAAAGAAGATTATTTAAAACTAACAGTAAAATTAGATTTCAATAAAGAAAGGGGGGAAATAATACGGTGGGTAAAAGGTTAGAGATTAGTAAACACACTTATCATCACAAACCCTGCAGACTCTAGAGTCTGTGAGATTTCTATACGGCTGCCATCATTTCCAAATCCGGACAGATATTAAAAGCTCGAACAGATAAAATGCTGCAACTTTCGTAACACATTCAGTCCTCCTATTTTCTGTTGAAAGTCTTGCTCTCTCTCGCTCCTTCACAGCAACTATAGAGTAAACGGAAGCCATGTATAGACATGCCAGATGTGACATGTCTAGACATGCTATGCTACATGTAAACATGCTGTCTAGATGAACCATAGATTCCTTTAAATCAGTTTACCACTTTGAGCTTGTTCTGATTTAAGTCCTAAAAACCTCATAGATATTAAAAATGGCTGTCATTCAGTTCTTTCAGCCACTGTACCTACATTGAAAAGCTTCTTTTTTTATTACCCCCTGGTATTTTTTTATATACCAGGGGGTATATAAGTAAGAATCATAATTTGTTTTCCTAAAAAAAAAAAAAAAAAAATCAAATCTACTTTAGTTAATTCAAAAATAGCATAATTATTGCCAGGTGCTTACAAGATCCACGCTATAGTTTTTCTTTTCTTTTGGATTTTGAAAGTGATTTTTGTTCCACTTCACATACCCCCTGCGGTCTCTCCACTGGCATTTCACTTGCGCGTTTAAACAAGAAAAAACTTCCAGACCTGCAGGTTTCAGACAGAAAGGCTCAACTATTTCCCAAGAGACTGGAGGAACAACAACCAGCTACATATGTTTTATGCACACAAAGCAGGACGACAAAACAACTAAAACTCCTGTAGGATCGTGATGAGTCCAGCTTCAAAACAACTACAAAAATTATTAAGTAATTCTGAAAACATTGACTTTAAATGTAAGAAAATACGTTTAAAGTCAGCAACATTTTGCAGGTGGAATGTGAATGTACTTTGTTGTATTTCAGCCGTTTGTGTTAAACATACATTTAACACCACAGTCTATAGATCTTTTCAACTATAACAGTATTGTTGAAAAGATCATTTATTCCACCGCAGGCTTGATTACATTTTCAGTCTGAAAGCAGGATTTTTTGTCTTTTGCTGTCAATCAGCGCTCGCCAGTCACCATGGCAACCCTTGCTACTTCAAATTCTGACTCGCCATTGGTCGGAAGGGAAACGGAGGCGGGAGGGAGCGCAGGCACACCCACTAGAAGGAAACAAACGCACCCAGTATAACGCTTGCATTCTATTGGTCGAGACGTTGCCAGGCGACGCTGCTTTTCTGTTTCAAGCGCAAGCAGAAAATGTTTCACAAGCGAGCAGAGAGGCAGGTTTTGAGTGCAAGGAGAAAGGTTTGAGAAAGACAGTGAATATTTGGAAGAGAGCGGAAGTTTTGAGTGCAAACATTATATGTTTTGAGAAGAAAGACATGAAGTGATGCTTTCAAAGTGAAAACGTGTGCTCTCGAATTATGGCAGGAAAATTCCCACACAGCTGCGGCCCAATATATTGGCACACAAATACAATTCATGTTAAAATATTAGGCTTTTTATTTAAATAAATTCCCATTTAAAAAAACAAACAAAAAACATTAATTGGATAGTACTGCATCTACGTTTGTTTCTCAAAATGTATTTTGTTGTTTTCATCTTCCAGATGCACATATGTCTACGGGACTCCCACCATGTATGTTGACATGCTTAACCAGCCGGATTTGGCTAAATATGACTTGTCTTCCGTAGAGGGAGGTAAGAAAACAGGTGGAAATAATTTTTGTTCTTGTTTCTTTTAAAATCAGATTTGCGTTGATTCGTTTTTTCCTTATTTTTTCCTGCAGGCCTCATGGCTGGCTCCCCGTGCCCCCCGGAGCTGGTGAAGAAAGTGATACTTCAAATGGGCATCAAAGAAATTACAGTGAGTAGATTTTCACAAACAATCCTTAATAGACATAAACATGTAGGTACAGAATCGCAAAACCTCCAAATCCAAAGTCTTAAAAGTGGAGTTCAGCTTTCAAACACAAGAGGAAGACAAATGACAAACTTAAGCAGAGAGGACAAATAAAACAATATTTACTTTTTAAAAAAGGGTTTATTGGATGTGAGTCGTTATTATCACGTCCAAAAATGAAATATAAACACACAGAATATACAATAAATGGGGAAACATATTTTAGTAGAAAGAAGAAAAAAAAAATCGTAAAAATCTTACATTTGCCCTCTTGTTGCACACAGTAGAAAGAAAAATATACCCTGTTCCACCTTTATAACAAAGGACACTGAAAAGACAATTTCTGAATTACCTGGGGCCTCATGCATAAAGCGTGAGTGTGCACAAAAAAATGTGCTACACCAGATTTTACGCACAAGTCAGCATGTATAAAAATTAAACTTTGCGTAAATATACGCAAAGTTTTCCACTGGCGTGAAAGTGTCAAACTACAAAGTGTCAAAACTCACTTGAATACACTGAAATCTGACTACCTTCAGTGTTATTTAGACCAGGAAGTTTCAAACCCAATGATGATTTTAATATTTTATTGTTTAAACATAAACGATGAAACTGAACCGCAGTTTTCCTCAGACAATAAGCCAACACGCTCACAAAATAAAGACAATAAAAATGAAAAGATGTAAAAACCTCGCCCAAATGTAAATGGTACATTTGCTCAGTTTCCTTCTCATAAAGATGTAACTATTGGTCTGTGCACCAAAGCGCCTGAAATGGATCTATGGGGTAATTTCTTTCTGACTGAAAAAGAAAACGGTTGGATCAGCAGATTAACTCCAGACAGGTTTGATTATTGTTAAGGTGATCAAGGTGTGTATGCAATCACGTATTCAAGTAGCTGCACGAAGGTGAGCCGCGTAAATGTGGAGCGCTTTGGCTCTGATGGAGAGCATCACCAATGTTGACTTACATGGGCTGAATCCCCTGCCACACTTTTCAGATTTGATTTAAAAAGTCAAAACTTGCAGACTCTCCTTCCTCTTAACAGTTATCCACTCCTTTGTGTTAGTTTATGACATAAAATCCCACTGGAACACATCAAAGTTTATGGTTTAAGGGACTGAAAACCTCTTGGAAGGCATTGCATTTTGACGTTTTGCGTCTTTTCTGAAACCTGATCAACAGTCGTAGATATGAACTAAATCTTTAGAATTACTTCAATCAAACCAAGATCTGCACCTGCATCAGGAAGAATAAAAACATCAAATCTTTCTGTTCTGGTTGCCTCCTGCTGCTTCGTTTGCTGCTTCCACTTTATTATTACGTCTTTGATATAAATGATATAAAGAAAAGCATATGGGTTTTGTGTACCATAGAGCGTAAAGCTTTTCCTTTACAACAGTCTCAAAGCAGAGTCAGTAAGTGTTGCTTTCGCTGTAGCCGGTCACCTGGACGGGCTCCTTCTCTGAGCCTCCTGCAGAGGGAGAGAGAGAGACATGACAAAAATCAAAAATCTGCTGCCAAATGAAACAGTTTTACTGCATCCAGGGGCCAACATAGACAGAAGGGAGTCGGGAAAGAAAAGTGCAGAACACAAATGTGTGAAGCTAAATATGAGCTACCCAAAAACCACATCCAGACACTTTGCAGGAATGTAATTTGGATATTTTGAAGGGTAAAAAAAGAAATGTGTCTCAAGTACTTATCAAAATTACTGTTCAGCTCAATGTTTGGGTTGTTCTTTTCACAATGAGCTCCATTTCTCCAGCATTAAAGTGTTTTTATTGCCCCTAATCGACTTAATCATCCCATTTAAAAGCAACAGAACCATTTATAAAGTTCGGTAAACAACATGCTAAGTGGAGTTATACATTTTTAAATGTATTTTTTTTTATGATGCATGAAAAAAAAAACTATTCCTTGCTATGCCGTCTTTCAGACATTATTGAATACCTGATCAGCTGACGGTTTACTGACGTCGACCAGTCCGAGATTTCTTTGTCTTCTTGCTCTTACTGTTCTTATCGTTCTTTTCGCTCTTACAGCGCTTGAAGACGGTGCTTTTTCTGACTTGTATGCCTTTCTGTGAAGGAGGTGACTCACAAATCGCATCTGTTTCGTTTTGGCGGGAGTCCATCCACCTGAAAGCACAAATAGAAAAAGATGAAGCATAGAAGAATGTCCTTACTTTTTATTTTACAAGCAGAAATTGAGACTCTGGTATTGATAGGAGCTTTATGAAGACTAAATTTACTTAAATGGTTTGTGTTGCTAGCTGGCTTAGAGGGATGTACTCTGTTAGTAGTATTTAGATTGGAAAATCCAAATGCTTTTTGGGTTTAATTTGTACCAACAGAACTGGAGAGGGAAATTTAATCGACCATGAATGTTGGTCCACTTAACGATGAAGTGCAACACCCAAGATTGAGCCAATCCAGGTCATATTAAAGTCTGATAGAACCACATCATTTGTAAAACAAACAGAAAAAACTATTTCCTGAGAATTATCCTCTTCTCCACAACTTCACCTTCTTGAGTTGTGGAGAAGTCATGTTTTTATCTTCAGTCATGAAAACAAGACTGAAGATGAGTGGCTTTCCTTTAAGAGTTTGACTAACGCTTTCTGAATGAGATGTTTGAGAATCCGTTGGGTCTTTTCCGATGCATAAGAGCATCGAGACTGAGAATCCCTCAGTGGGTGGGATACGCTGTCATGTTGCATTTCCTAAAGATCAGGACCACCACCCTGTTCTATAACTCTGTGTTTTAATCCTCCATATGGCATTAAAACGGTACATGAACCAAAATGTCTAGAGCTTTTCGGCCTCAGGGATCTTGGCCAATCCTGACGATCTCCCATGGTGATGGACTCAGACGTTCCCTAAAGTCCTTCGAATACCCTGAAATTTCTCTTTCTAAGCGCAAACTTCATCGTTAGTCCAGGTTTGTTTCCTTCCTAAATGGAGCAGCCCGGGACTTTTTCTCTTTCTACGTCAATTCAGTTGTTTCTTTTTTGCCTCCAACAGCCACAGAAGCTGCAGTCTTTCTAGTGGGGTTGCATTAAATGTCCACTACATGTGCCAACTTTGTAATATTTTATTAATAATGACACTTTAAAGAAAAGTTGGAACTATTAATGGATTTTCAATGCAACTTTGAGAGCAACCTTGCATAAAATGTGTCATTATTTACCAAATGATACTTCATAACAACAGTTGTAAACATTAATGAAGACCCTTCATTTTCATAACTGGTGTTATGTCATGTTTATGTCATGACAGTCTTATGCACACGCCGTCAAATAAAGCGTTACCCATTTATCAAATCGTGCCTCTGGTTAAAACTTCTTGTAACTCTTGCTTGGTCCATCCTCTGCGGTCACTGAAAGAACTTTTTTTTTAGTCTGAAGAATGTTTTTGCCAATGCCATGTCACTTAAATGTCCTAATTGCAGCCAATGGCTCTAAGTTTCATGAGCTTATTTTTCTTAGGACAACACAGCGAATCTAAATCCTTAAGGCGGACCTATCGGATCTTAGCAACAGAAACCTTTGTGTTTTGTCTAAGGGAAGTCTCTTACTTGCGTAGTGGCGCTAGCTGGCATGAGCAGGTCCAGGGGTTGTTGAAGAGGGTCATGTTGGTGTCGACATTCAGCTGCATAGTGGTGGGCAACGACTTGAGGTTGTTGTTATCCAGATAAAGGAACTTAAGTGCTGTCACTCCATTAAATGCACCAGCGGATAGCTGGAAAAAAAGGGGGGAATCAATCGGTTAGTTTTTTCTCAGCTCAAAGTGTCAGGCTTGTTTGTCTTGACCTTTATTACAAAACGGATGGCATGCTAACGGAGACGGGTGTTTGCTTTTTTCTCTGGAGTGAAAGCCTCTTCTCATCCTTTCTCCTGCACCCTTATATATGTAAACACTGACATTTACTGGCCTCCGTCTTTTACCTTCAGCTTCAGAGGCATCTGTGAAGGTGCTAAAACCTTCAGAGAGGTGTGAGCTGCACTGACCTGTGTCCAGTTCGTCTCCACAAGGAGGAAGACGAGGCCGCTCTTTAAAAGCTTGTTTCATCTTGGGCTGAAAGAGATGAGGCTATTCGGAAATTTCCACTGGTGTTTTGGGAAAAAAATGGAGGATTTCCATCATGGCAGAGCTGTTTTCCTCCCTCTGCCGCCTCCATTTTTGGGCCGCTCCTCTGCCAGCATGGCTCCCAAAGAGACTGTTGTCCATTCAGCAGGCTAAAAATATTCCTCTTCATGCACCGTGGAGCACCCTGCCTCTGTTTACCTGTGATCCAGCCCCTCCTGACCTGTTTATAGGACCCTTCCAGCCAGAGTGCAAAACCACGCTGCTGAAAATATCGCTTGTGTAATAATAAGAGCCAGATATGCTTGGCCAACATCCAGCAAACAAAAACACTCTAAAAATACCTACATTTGGCTAAAAAAAAAAAAGTACCTGAATCTGCTTGCCCTGCTGCTTCCACCTGGTTTCACACCATCCCAGCGTGAGAAGCTTATTTTACTGATGTTCTCCCTTTGAGCGCCTCATTTCACTGGCACAGTTACGCTCAAATATTGTCTTAACCTCAAGTATCAGATGAATGGGTGTCTGAATAAGAGCTCATACTGTCCAACCTGGTGAACAGCGGGAAGTCAGAATCACTTGAGACCCAATCAGATCATGATTTCTAAAACAATTGAAATGAATTTATATTGTTGTTTTTGTTTTTTTGTTTTTTGTTGTTGTTTTTTTTAGCTGCTCAACATGCATTACAAAAACGTAATGAAACAAAGAAAATAGTTAGACTTTTTGTGAGAATGGGTTAGGTAAATAACATTATACCCACAAATGAAAAAAGCATTTTGCACGTTAACAGAAAGCCCTGTTTGCACATTTTTGGAGGGCTTGTTTGGGGGAAATAAAAACACAGGATTTGAGTCACTTTTTGGATCATATTTGCTCTGTTTTCTTATCTTTGTAAACTAACCAAATTCAAATTTCAAATTTGGGTGCCTCAAAGTCTACTTCTGAGTAAAAGAGTAAAAGTCACTGAATATATGTGTTCCGATTTAAATATGAAATAGTAATAATATTAGCATATTCAGCTAAATCTGTTGTTCAGAATTTTTTTGTAAACTTGCCGATTTATTTTTCCCAACTTAAACTTTCAAACTTCATCTAAAGCATTTAAAACAGGACAAAATGAGTGTAAAATTACACTTTTAGTTTCACTTTCCACCCAGATCCTTTTCCTGTAGTTTTTGATCATAGATCGATGCTCTAAACCAGGAAGTAAAAGGTCTTACCTTCTCCAAGCCCATATCGTCCAGGTGCAGTTTCTCCATGTAGCGACCAAAACTCTGGAAGGCGTTGTCTGGGATCGTCTTCATGGGGTTCTTTCCCAGCGTGAGCTCCTCCACCACTCGCAGTTTGCCCATGGCGGCGCTGGGATAGGCGGACAGCCTGTTCCTGTCCAGGTGAAGGATGGCGAGGTTCTCCACTTCGTCCAGAGACCCCGGGTGCAGCGTCGTCAGCTCATTCCCGCTCATGTGCAGCCAGCGCAGGTCCTTGGCGCCCGCGAAGGTCCCTGGCTGGAGTTCCCGCAGCCTGTTGTTGTTGAGCTGCAGAACGAAGAGGTTGATCATGGGGGAGAAGAGCCCCTTGGTCAGCTCGCTCATCTGGTTCCCCTCCATGTACAAGTAGGTGAGCATAGTGAGGTCCTCGAAGGCGCCCGACTTGATGCTGCTGATCTTGTTGTTGGACAAGTAGAGGTAGACGAGCTTCTTCAGTCCCTTGAAGGCCTGGGATTCAATCTCTCGTATCTGGCAATGTTGCATGTGCAGAGAAACGAGACCCTTGCTTTCGCTGAAGGCCCCTGAGGGGACGGTGCCCAGGTTGTTCCTCTGCAGGTTCAGCAGACGGGTGGCCTCAGAAACCTGGGGGATCTTCTTGAGCCCCACGCCGTCACAGATGACATGCTGCAGGTCTCCGTGGCAATGGCACGGGCTCGGGCATTGGCTCTGGACTCCCAGGAGCCCCAGGAGGATGCAGCTTCCCAACAAGAGCACGCAGGACGCCGAGCGCATTCTGATGGCCTCCGCCAGAGCAGCTTTTACAAAAACAAAAACCTCGACGGGAGCAGTTATGAGACGCTACAACAGAGCGTGGTTTTGCTGTGAGGAAAACAGAGAGGAGGAGTGAGCAAAAGGTGAGAGGAGGATTGCCGATGAGCCGAGCACACAGCGCTATTTATAACATTTACTTGAGGAGGGAAAAAAATGAGGAGGGTTAAAGTGAGAGGTCTGCACATGGAAGTCAAGTGTCAGTGAGAATTTAACCCTCACAGAGCGAGCGCCCGTTAGCGGCGTCTCTCTGCCGCAGGTTTGCAGGGACGTCCTGACGTCCAGCGCACCGCGGCGGACACATGTCCCAACTAATCACAACAAGCACCAATCGTAGTTTTTCCCCCGTCAAGAGGCTCCAGGTGAATGTTTGACAACGTGGCATGAGGTCAGTTTGGTTCTGTGCACGCTCCTAGACTTCTCTATTGTTTTTCAGTCTGCGGTGGCAGGAAAAAGGGGCCACTCCTGCGCAGCTGTTTTATAACCTGTAATAGTCTCCAGATGGCTGGCATGGAGGCAAGATGAAAGTCATCTGCAAAATAGAAAGGAGGGGGCTGGGGGGTAAGCATACTTCCATCATCACGGGCGTGAAAACTTTAAATGCCACTTTGCATTCCTGTGTGCATTGTTTCTCTTGAAAACCGAGAGCGGTGTTATGTAATGGAGATTTCCAGTTAAACCTCAATGCAGAAGATGGAGCAGTTTATGTAATTTGGAGCCGTTTCTGGCAGGATGTGACTGGCTCAGGTCAGAGGATGGTTTGGCTTCAGCTTCTTGTATTTTATGGTCCCACCCATTTAAAAAAATGAAGAAAAAAAAAAGGAATCTAGTGTTTACCTCACAAATCTAACATTTTAGTGTGAATCTTAATTTCTTTTAGAGGTTTGGCAGGTGAAGACTCTCACTACAGCCTCAGCTAAGAGAGCCTGACATTTATGGCTCAATTTAAATTTTCCTGCTGCTGATGGAGGATTCTCTTGTGATTTTATTTTTGTTTTTTTTTTTGATAATCAACTTAATGGAGAAGAAAACATTCCTGCCGCAGGCAAACGCCAAGTTACCCACTATAAAACAGGGCGGGCTGGATGGAACGCTGCGCATTAAAGGAGCTTCAACACGCATTTGAGTAGAACAGGGATCTGCAACCAAGACTCTTTATATGAAGAAACAAAAACTTTTTAAACTATGGATACAATAACAACAAGAACGTTTTGCCAAAATATGCGTCTTCCACAGCGTCCTGTAGAAGACAATCTTCTGTTTGCAATTGTCTCCTGTTGATGCTCGTTGTTAAAGAACAGCAGGTTGTGCAGAAAGTCCTGAAACAATAAACAAACGAAAGTGAAGTTTAAAAGGACACATAGCCAAATATTCTCAACCTAATATTTTCATTTCAGGTTGTCATGAAAATAATGTTTCCGTTGTCTGAAGCATTTAGCCAGGAGAAAAGAATACTCCTTTCATTGCAATTTATTGTAATAACTCCAAAACAGTCCATTTTTTAAACATTTTGTATTCAGGTCGGGTGAAAAATTTCAAACCTATTGGGATTCTAGTTACAATTCCCAACACTTTAGGCCATAGCTAAACCAATTCAGCTAAGTTGTTTCAAACCAAATCCTGTTTCAATAATTCGAATTTAGTACAGCTCAAATGAACTGTCAGTCCAGTTCAACCTAATGAACAGTCTAGAATAGTTTAACACAAGTATTTCAGGGGTTTGGTTGACTGAGAGAAATGAACAAAACTCAACAATCAAAACAGAAACTCTTTATAGACAACCCCCCCCCCCAAAAAAACAGCTTTATTTAATCCATCTCCACTGACTCATCTTCCTGTTTCTTCCTCTGGTGTTTTTGTCGTTGACAGATTGGATACGGCACCACGGAGAACAGCCCGGTGACGTTCCTCGGCTGTCCCCTGGACAACCTGGAGAGGAAGTGTGAGACGGTCGGCTACATCGTGGACCATGTGGAGGTTGCGCCGACATGCTTCTCAAATAAATTCAAGAAAACACACATGTGTGCGGTTTTTTTTTGTGTGAGGTGAGAATTTGTTGTGCAGGTTTTTAAAACAAGGAGTGTGTATCTGTTTTCCCTCAGGCTAAAATAGTAAACCCTACAACTGGCCAGATTGTGCCTCTGGGGATGAAAGGCGAGATAATGGTCCGAGGATACTGTGTGATGCTGGAGTACTGGTCCGAACAGGCTAAAACACAGGAGTGCATTACTAAAGAAGGCTGGTACCGAACTGGGTGAGTCCTAAGTGGAAAAAAATAATCACATGCAAAACCATCGTTTTCAAACTTTTAATGAAAAGCACGTTTTGTTTGTCGGTCTCCTTGGCGTTCTTCCCTCCAGAGACATCGGCAGCTTGGACGCTTACGGCTACTGCAAGATCGACGGCAGGATTAAAGACATGATCATCCGAGGGGGAGAGAACATTTACCCGGCAGAGATCGAACAGTTTCTCCACACACATCCCAAAGTGAAGGAGGCACAGGTGTGCTGGGGGTGACGGCGCCATCTGTGGCCACAAACAGAAACTACAGGACAAATTCTACATAGATATCAGAATGAATTTTGGACAATGATGCTGGAAAAAATTATTATCCTTCTTTCCTTGAAACAAAATAATGTTCAATACTTATAGGTTGCCAACAAAAACCTATAATTGTTGTACATCTACTTTTTGTTAAAAATGAGTCTTGGTCGTTTTGGCCTCATTATAGTTTGCTTTAGTCATTGTTAAATCTGGATTTGTATTACAAACGTTAATGTTTACACTCTAAAACCTCCATATCTTTTTATTTCACTTCACCGTAAGATGAAGATAATTAATATTACAAATCTGGATCAGCCACTGTAACAACTTTCGTTTAGTTTTGTGCTTCTATTCTCGTTCATTTTCAACATTCAGCTCCACACTGATGAATGATAACGCTCAGTATTTATTTAATTTGTTTCCTGGCTGCTAGGTGGTTGGAGTCAAAGATCCTCGAATGGGTGAAGAGGTCTGTGCCTGCATCAAACTGGTGGACGGCCAGGAGTGCACAGCAGAGGAGATCAAAGCGTACTGCAAGGGACAGGTGGCTTCATTTCGTTTTCATTTCTGCTCTCCTTCCTCTTGCCGGAGCTGCTCTGCTCAACATCTCCTGGTTTTTACTTCTTCCAGATCGCCCACTTCAAGATTCCTCGCTACGTCCTCTTTATGACCAGCTTCCCACTCACCGTTACGGGAAAGGTGATGCTTTTATGGGATTTTTTTTTTTTTTTCCCTTTTCCCAAATCCAGAGCTTTCATTTTGTGGTTAATTACAAACATGTTGCAGCCAGAGTTAAAACGGATCCAGATTTAGAAGCTCAGCCATGAAGCCCGTCTGCACGCACTCAGTGTCCCTCTGGCCTCATTACACAGTCAGATTAATCCAAACCCTAAACTTAGGACTCCTTTGAGAGCCATTAAGTCCAAACGCACAGGGAAGAAAAGGCAACGTGACGGTTTCATGTTCTCACATCTGAAGCTGAAGTTAGAAAAGATGCCTGAAGTCTTTATTATGTATACTTTTATATATATATTTTTTTGGATGACAAATAATAATAAAAAGGGACGTTAGTAGAAAAATCAGTCACTAGGTTTTTATTCTGAAAGAAGTAGTTTTGGTAAACACACCCAATTTTATATAAATAAAATTGGGTGTGTTTTATGTATATAAGATATATATATTTATACATGTATATATATCCTTCCAAGTATATACTGTTTGTACATATATATTTGTATTGATGTCAAAATATTATTTTCAATTTGGGTTTCTCAAAATGTTATTTAAAATGTGAAATACAAGGGCTCTTCAAAGCTTAACTCATATTTATCATTTTGATTCTGAACTCATCCCTCTTGTTTATGCATCTTTTCAACTACACTTTTTTCTTCCACTAAACTTTGTCAATGTCCTTGGATACAGAATTGTACCACGTAAGATAATATTTGTGCAGTCTCAATCTATTTCTCCAGTGTTGCAATGTAACATTCTAATTTTCTTAGCCAAAATAAAATCCAGACATCGGTATCTTTGAGCCGTAGCTTTGAAGATGAAGACATGTTTAAAGATGCTGGACAGACGACGGGTTGAGGCTTAATGTGACAGAGGACAATGAAAGGAAAGATTTGAGGCACAACCATCAATAATTGTAGAAAATAAAACTCTAAACATATCGCTGTGTGTGCAATAAATCTGCAAATTTTTCTTTTTGAAAGAAAAAAAAAACTTCTGGATGATTGTCTACTTTATTGGGATCCAAAATTTGAGCAAACCTGGGAAATTTCACGTTTTGCAGCCATATTTCTTGAACAGTTTGCAAATTTAAAAATTGTTTCCTCATTTATCTGTGTGTGTGTTTTTTTTTACTCAGATCCAGAAGCAAAAGCTGTGTGAGGAGGCCGAGAAGCAGCTGAAGTGAAGCACACTGTAAAAAGCAAACTATAGAATTTACCCTAAAAAAGTGAGGTAACAATTTGCACTGTCCCCGTTAAGGTATATTCAGTTAAATATATTGAGTATTAAGTAATTAACTTAGACATGTAAGAAATACTTTAAAAAGTTGGGTAAAATGTACCCATATTTATGGTTAAATTCAACAGGTATTTAGTCAGTTAAAATAGGTAAAAATTTGTCTTGTTTGCTAGTAAATCTTAGCTGAAAATTAAGAGTTAAAGTTAACTGAAATCACTGAGTTACCTTTACTTATTCAGGTAAGTTAAAATGCAGCCACAAATAATAGATCGAGATGATACACTTTTACAATTATTTTATTCTAAGAATTCATCCAAAAAGTACAACAGAAATAAGTGCAACACAGCAGTGTCAAGCAAAATTACAAATACTTAAACCGCAGTATAACATCTTCAAATATTTTTTCAGTAATGTAGGACTATAAAACATGTCAGACATCCAATCTCAGGAGTACATCAGAGAAAAGGACAATTTAGGAGAAGAGAGAAAATTAAAGGAGAAGTGAGGTGCAAGGGATAGTCTTAATTGTGTTTCCTCTGCCTCACACAACAGTGACTGAGCAAATCTTCAGATGTGCAGGTGTATTTAAACACAACAAATAACAGAACTATAACACAACATTAACAATAAATGAATAAAGTGCAGTACAACAGCTACAACATTTAGACATTTCAAAACACATTTTATAACACACTGAGCTAACGGCTACATATGTTGTCTCTGGATAAGTATTTAATGCAACCAAACTTTAAGAGTCCCCTTATTCTATTTCAAAAGCTTCAAAACCCACACACAAACTGTAATACTTTTTTTTTCTGCGTGTGTACATGTGGATGAAAACAGATCAGAAAAACAACAGTCTTCAATTAATATAGTTGCACTCATTCAGGTAGAATGACAATAACAGAAACAACGAAATTGGGAAAGAGGTGATTTTTAAATTTGTCAGAATTCAGTCAGTGTTAATGACCAGACTGTCCAGTTACATTGTTTTTCCATTTTCAGAAATCAGAGAACAATGGAGTGGGCTGAGAGAGGCTGCAACGTACTTATGTATCCATATATGTCTGTGGACAGAACAGAACACTAATAAAAAAAAAGCTATACTACCTTAAAACTCTGTCCAGACAAAAGATCCTCTTGGAAGGACGGAAAATGTATGCCTTGAGCTTGTTCTTCAGACTGTGGACCTTCTTCAGTAGTTTTGCCCCATCAATTTCCAAAAAAAGTTTTTGAAAAGCTTCAAATGTGTTCTTGAGCTGCTTTGGATAGTCCAGGTTGAGGGCAAATATGAGTCCCATCAGCAGTACACATGCCTTTGTTCGGCTTCCACATTCTTCCATCACTTGGTTTCCCTCAATCACAATCTGATGGATCCTCCTCAGCCATGATGTTGTGCATCACGATCACCGTCATTGTTTTGTCTGTGTGGTCCTCACATTCCTATATGTTGAAAATAATCAAAAAAGATACACATTTAAAATTTTATTGAAGATGCTTTTTCCATACATTTCAACATATCTAAAGGAGAGCAGAGGGTAGTGATCAGAAGATAGAAAGACAAGATGAAAGAAGGAAAGGAGTGAAGAGGATCCCTTGAGTTAATCGATCATCTGTTTTCAAGGACATACCTGGCAATCATGGAAAAGATCTTCTTGTCTTTCACCAAAGTAGTTAATGAGGCAGCAGACAACTGTATCCCTTTTTCAATGTGGTGGCTGTAGGAGATACAATTTAGTGAAAAGACTGTTAGTGGAGAGTGGGGAGAGATTTACACACACTAAGTTGGTAAGGAGCTTAACTTTGTGCACAACAAAGCAATTCTTTACAAATTATTTCCATTTTTAATTTAAGTATATCAATAATGACATATTTCTGAAAAAAAAAATTAACATACGTCATTTAAAGTGTCCAGCAGAAGGTGCATCTTTGAACCAGCAGCCCCTCGTTTAGCAGCATAAGCTGCAGAAGACCTGGTGTGTTCTCATCAAGCTTTAGCATGAATGTCTCCTCCAAGGAAACTGTCGATACGTCTGAACTCTTCCTTGATCTAGGACATAAAAGGACAAAAATCAAATTTTAAATGAAAAACCAGATCTCATGGTCTTCACATGAATGTTTCTTGATGGGAAGAAAAATTATAAACTATGAGAAGTAACGCTAAACTTTCACAACATAGACACACGTACGCAGACATGCAGGTGAACTGGAGAGAATCACGTTGTTTTTAAACAGACCGCGGCGGAGAGCGACTCTCCAGCAGCCATGTTAGCTACCGGAGCTAACAGGTCAACAATATAAAACACGGCAGGCATTTCATATGTTGGCGACATATTACTATTAGTATTTTAAGACGGAACTTCTCATGTGCGGCGAAAATACACTAATGAATTGTTCAGCAAATTATTTGCTGCCTGTGTCTCGGTGCAGCGTGAAGTGGGAGCAGAGACCTGCAGATACTTAACGACCGTTACAACTTAACCACACGGGCAAAAGTTCAGCGTTAGCGTTAGACTAGTTTTCTAACCTTAAAACCAGCGGTAACAAACAGTCATGCATGCTGGCTAATCTCAAAAGCACTGCGAACAAATTAAAACTACCTGTTGTTTGTCCAGACAGTTAGCCATGTTGGCGCCATGGAAAAATTCAAATTTTGATGTACAGTATTGGCATGTTACAGAGATGCACATCGAATATAAGTGAAGTATCTAATCATTTGTAATGTTAGAATTTGCATTCGTGCTATCATTCACAGAACAACTATATTAATATCTTACCTTCAGCTCCCGGTTCGATGGCAGAGAGGATGCAGAGTTCCTTGTCCCGCTTCTCTTTCAAAAACGCGGTCTGACGCATGCGCAACTTTGGAGCACCGGACTTAAGAATCGGGGTAGATTTTACTGTAATTTCCTATCTAATAGTTTTTAATGTTAACGAATGGGTAGCACATGTAGAAATTACCCAACATTTCTTCAATCATTGGCTACCTGAAAAAATACATTAAAATTTACCTCATTTTTATGGATCATATTTAACACTCGCAAAAATCACTTTTTTCAGTGCAGAGAAATGACAGACTTCTCTCGTGAACGGAGACAATTCAATGACTGTTTCCAGTACATAAACTGTATATGAATCGTAAAGCATAAACTACAATTTGGATTAAGCCAGCCGGCCATCAGAACAAGATAAAATGTCTGGAGAAGCGTTTCTGGCAGACAGTGTAATCCAAAAGCGGACCAGTGATGGGCAGGGATGTTTGAACTGTGATTAGTGAGTCGGGTCTGAAATGACTCCGTCCTGCTGCTTTAAGCTCTTACAAGAAGAAGGCATTAATCTGTTTTATAAAACGTTATGACAAGGACACAATTTACTCTGCAAAGATCTACAGACTCAGATCCAGATTGGAAAGCAACGTAGGAATCAAGGTGGAACATAAAATGTGATTTCATTTTCTTTTTAACAGTTTGGCTCTGACCGTCCTGTGAGGCTGATGTATGCGGACAATTTGTTGCTCTGCTCAGTTTTTTTTACCCAACAGCTACAAAATGTACAATTTTTATTACTAATATTATTTTTTTTAATCTCAACTTGAAATAAACGCTACTAAAGCCAGACCTGGGTGTTCCTCTTTTACGGGAAGAACGGAGGCGTTTTTCTTCATCCTCTCCGGCCCTTGACATGCCGTTCGTACTGATTAAAAATGTAAGAAATGAGCCGACACGGCAGACAGCCACGCTGAAAGAATTTCCTGCCTGGACGACATGTGCGGGCTGCAGGACCGGGTGTTTGCGGCCGCCTCGGCCTGAAGGATTCGGCTCAGAAATGGCTCCTACAACAAACGTTGCCTTTTGGCTCTTTAAGAAGGAACGTCAAGGTTTGCTTTCCTTCTTTTATTGTCTACTATTTTATTTCACATATTTCAGGTTTCATTAAATGTGTCAGGATGTTTTATTCTTACAGAAACAGCCAAGAGGAAGGAAGGCTGGCTGAACTGGCCACCGAAGATTTTTTGCGGGGTTTTAACTTCACTTGGAAAATAGGAGGTAAAATCCCACCATCCAGTCAGTTTGGACAAGATTTCATGCCTGAAACGTATTTCCCAAGTTTTGCCTAACATGCATGTTAATATACATATTACAAAAACACAATTTGTCCATTTCTTGCTCACTGAGTGTGGAAAAACTAAAATAATTAGTGTGAATGATCACCTTTATTAGAGCAGTAATTTTATCAGTTTGCTGTTCTGAACAGATTTCTGCTTCTCAATAAATTGCATCTTTTGTTGCTTGCGCATCCTTTTCCTTCCACTCAACTTTCTAATTTATAGTTTCATACCTCATTTTGTGAGATGTGTGCGTCTTTGACCTTTTGTGACTCCACTTGTGAACAACAGTCAGCAGTTTTCCTCCTGGATGTGTAGACCAGTGCTATAACATTCATTCATCAACCCTTGAACCCAACAAAATTCACACTGTTCCTGGCTAAAACCAATTTTAAAAGTAAAATGAAAATACATTTTCAGCAGGTTGGTTGTTTGGAAAACACAAAATGAAAGAATGTACCACTTACCCTGTTTCTTGACTTTTATTGACAGCCCCCCCAAAAACAGCATCGCATATGCTGAAGACAAATTAATAAACTGAGAATTGTTAAGATTTGATGCATGTAACGAGAAGAAAGAAAAACAAATTTTTCACTTCTTGATCTGCTGATCAAGCCACAACTGTCTAATTCTGATCTCTGATTTGAAGGCCATTCTTTCTCCAGAGCATTCATTTCGGTTTTCACTTAGAAAATTAATAATCTGAAAACATGTGGACAGATCACAGCAGTCTTATTACAACGAAATGAGCAAGTTTGAGGTAACTGTTTTTGTCCTTTTCCTGCTCCACCCTGCACACAAACACCAGCTCTCTCTGGGTTTTTTTTTCCCACATCGGTGTGAAGGAGCCGGAGAGGCGGGGAGGCAACCCTGACCTCGCCCTCGTCCAGAAGACTAGGGAGCGTTTTCCCACAGCATCACGTCAGGACTGCATCACTGGGGCTAAAAAAGCAAAACACCAGCACGCAGAAACGCCTCTGACAGGGAAGCCTGTTTGAGGCACAAAGAGCCAAACTGAGTCCTCACTCTTTGGGCAACGGGATCCCAATGGCAGTCTGCCGTCCCGCCATCTGCTGCTGGGCCTGCCTCAACTGCTCCTCGCTGCAGCAGTCCTGCAGGAACACGGCCGCCAGGTTGCGCAGGCGGGGGCTCTCTGCCAGGGAGAAGCGCAGCATGCACTGCAGGATTCCCGGCTCGGAGATCTGGGAACGGGTCGCGGGCGTGGCGAGGTTCATGAGGGTGGTGACGGCCGACAGGATGGTCTCTTCCCGCCGGTTGGACAGGCAGTTTGTGACCAGGCTGATGCCGCCGCTCTGCAGGATGACCTCTCTACACTCAGGGTCCATGCTGAGGTTGCACAGCCCCCCTGAGAGCACAGAGGAGGCAGTGAGGTGAATCTCACGGCTCAAGAAAACTCAGATGTACTGATGATGAAAAAAAAATTCAAGTGTAGGGAATTGGAAAGGCAGCTTTAATTTGGCTTTAAAGTTAATTATTAATTCGCCGTGAGTTTGTGAATTGAATGACTGCTGCGTTCTTTATATGAACATTGGTGGCATCCCACAGGGATGAGTGTTCGGGACGAATGTTATCTTTGGATTTTAGTTCAGTTCATTTTGTCTGTATGGCAACAAGTTTTGACAAATATGTCAGATGTCCCAGTTCATTTACAGAAGCGCTCAAGGAATCAAATTCATACCAATACGAGTCAATCAGACGTATTTTCAATTAGAAACAATCCAGTCTTTTCAAAGACATAATACTGGACAGTCTAATTCCAGTTGGAGTGATGATTAATCAAAATCCATCCATAGATCTACACTAAGTCAACCACATGAACTTTTCAATTTTGCAGCAATCCCTCCTCCTGAGGAAGCTTGTGGCCAAAATGGAAAGAAATAACTCAGAGAAAACAAACATAAAAAAAAAACGCAAAATTTTAGTCCAGGTATTTTATAGGTAGTTCACATGTGCAACGTACCTGTAGCATTGAAACTGGTACGTTTTTGTTGGCAATATTAATATTTTCTGCTCCGTAAATGATTTGGAGCATTTATTTCACCTTACTTGGAAACTGAAAGACTGCATAAACATGCACAAATGTGAGATATGAAAAGGATCAATTGAAACTGATTAAGTAAAAACAAAATGATGGAAAAAAGAGATTAAACATATTTCTTCTAAAGCACTAGGAAGCATTGCAGTACTAAAGAATAGATATTAAATATTCATATTGTCAACTGCTCACTAGTTTCACTCTATTTAAGCATCTGTGCAGAAATCCAGGGCAACGACTGCAAAAAAGACAGTCAGGTTACTAATACGGTGAATGTAACAGTGATTGTACCAATTCACTATTTCTGAACCATTTTAAAAAGATATTAAAATATGATTGTTGTGAATTTTTATGTTTCACTGAACTGAAACTCTTACCCATCCCAAACTCCACAAAGTTCTGGTTCTCCTCGGTCAGCATGTCCAGGAACAGGTCGGGCACCTGCAGCTCCCGTAGATACTCCATGTTCTTTGGGTCGTACGCAAAGTTGGCGAGGTTGGCCAGAACCTGCTCTTTGGCTTCTAATAAAGGAGAAATAATGAAAAAAAAAATAATAAAATGAAATCAATACTGATATACTGTGTTGTTCTAATTCACACCACCAGAAGGCGCTGTTTGTTACTGTCGCTACCCCCCTTAATATATGAATCACAAAGCAGTGTAGACATTTTCAACAAAATTTCTGTCAAAAATGATTAAAATAAATTACGAGTCAGAATAATAAATTAAATTCTAGTCCCTTTCTACCATATGAACGTGGTTTAATCTAATATAGCTAGATCTGCATCCGCTAACAGGAATGTACAACAGGAACCATGAGTGTAAAGAGTCTCTATTTACATGTATTTCCCCCCCAGAAATGAAACATTTTGTCTCCAAAGGAGGCTTTACAGAAACAAAAATAATTAGAGATCAATTAAAATTCGTCACCTTCACTGTCCGTGTCCTGAAATTCAGTGACAAGAGACTGTAGATACTCAAACCGCTCCGTGGAGCTCATGTTTCAGCTTCCGGCTCCACTTTGGTCGCTTCATGCAAGTCGGCCTCCGATTAATCTGTTTTCAAGCACAGGCTTCTTTTTTGTTACTTGTTTTGAGTCGTCCGTCTCTGAAATGTGCCCGAGAAAAACAAACGAGCAGAAAAACAGTTCCGGGTTTCCCAGGTGTTGTTGCTATTCTGGTTCCCACCACAAAAAGCGGAAAAATCGCAAATTCAATGCTGCGTTCTGTGCACATCGGAAATAAGAGTTCAAATTTGACAGAGTTCTGCCCCGAAAAGTCGGATTTGACAGACTAGCTCCACGTTTAGGATCTAATATAGTTTCAACCCTTAAGCGCAAAGTGAAAGCTGTAAACTAATTACTCTCTCCTGTCGGATAAAACGTTTATGTTTTCTAATTATTTCGAGATTTCAGCTGAGAAACTTCAGACATCAATTGGGACGCAAAATCCGTCACAACACCGGAAGTTGTTACCGGACCTAAGGAGGCGTGTTTGTCTGTGCTGTTGTGTCAGCCCACACTCGGAAGGTCATCCGCAGAAAAATAACTACCTAATGTAGGTTTAAAATTGGAGTTTAGTTTCAGGTGATAAGCCTCGTTTACGACACGAACTCGCTACGATGAAGCAACACCAGCTGTCCGCCGGAAAGCGTTTCACCAAACCGATCCTGTTCGGCAGTGTGCTGATCGGACTCGCTACTGTGTTCATAAACAGGTAATTCATTTATTATTTGCGCCTCTAGTTACATTCAATACATTTACGATTTAAATACACAATAAACAACCAGTTAGCCTTCGCTGTTATTCGTTTACTTTTTGGTCCATCATTTATTTTCATTGCCTTCGATGTGATTCTTTGACATGAGACATTTTTCACTCAGTTTTATGTAATCCCCCAGTTTTGTCTCTGCAGAGCACTAAACCATTAATGTTGACTAAACCGTTTAGTTGACCAGAAAAACTTTTTTTTAGAGTTTAGTTTATTTTATTTTATTTTATTTTATTTTTTTTTTGGGACATTGACATTTGAGTCACATTAATTGATTTTTCTTTGTAGGAACCAACATCTGTCTCTGGTTTTACCTGCATGAATCACAATAGCACCAATGTAGAAATCAACCACCAAAAAACAACCATGGAAGAAAATTGTTTTCTACATTTCTAACTTGAAACTTTAGAGTGGAGATTTGTGATGAAATAGCCTTAAGCATTTCTTAAAGTTACATTTCCAGCATTCTTTCACCTTCATCTCCCAGTTTAAACTTATCTTCAGGAATAACTGATGCTGCTTATTTGTTCGCATTCATGCACAATCTCCTACTGGTGGTGATGTCAAAGTGTTTACACTTTAATTAGTCAGTTAACTTATTACAAACTGTCTTAACGTTTTCTAAATAAACTGCGATCAACTTCCACCGTTTGGTGAAAGTTTAGAGAGAAATGTTCAGTGTTTTTTACATGAACACAAGCTCTACGGTGTGGAAATTGTTATTGGGGCCATCAGTGGTGTCAGTAATGTGTTTAAAATTAAATTAGAGGAAGCTCTGAGACATAAGAAGTAATTTGAAAGGAAAGTGTCATTTTTCCAACATGTGGTGTTAAAATAAAGATCAAAATTTTCAGGAAAAAACAGAGATTGCTGTGCTAATTGTGCTAACTGCTTACAAAAGATTGTGAAGCGAGTTTAAATATTACACGTAAAAATATGTTTAAAACCCTGCTTTATAGCCACTCTGTTCTCTCACGAGGTGTGACATCTCCTCTGCTGCTAATATTGATAATTAATAACCACTCACAGCAGGAAGCTTCAATAAATATATTTAATGCTGTTTTTATATCCTGACTGCTGGAGCACAGAAAGAGAATGGTCAGTTTCAGCACGACACATGCTTATAAAAACTGGAAATCAGAAGAAATCAGAAAAGTGATAAAAAATAAACATTTGTTATTTGGGCAACTATTGCAAGAGAATCTCCAGATCTGTTATTTAAAATATAATTTGGAGATCCTGCAAATGCTCAACTAGACTTACAAAGTTAACTTCAGGTCAGATTGGTTTCTTCCATGAATGTTGCTGAACAGTTCCTGAAGGCCGGTGATAAATGGGAAGCTGTTCTATTTAAGAATATTCATATAATCCCTGCTGGATTTAACTTTTTCACAATGATAGCTGTAGAAATCTGTCCTTCTGGTGAGATTTCCGTGTCTTCTGCCGTACAGACACAAGTTCTTCAAGGACGTGGATGTCTTCCGGGCCCAGGAGAGAGCACGCAACGAGTCCAAGAGGATGGAGGTCCTGGAGAGGCGACAGAAGCAGATGGAGGAGCTGGCAGAGAAGAAGAAGCACGGCGGGTCGTGACTGAACAAAACAGACACTTATGGGCTCTGTTTACCTTGCTGATGAAGTCGGCCGACGCCGAGCAGATCAGCAGACTCTGTAAGCTTCCACTTTTCAGAGAGAAGGGAATAAAAATAGGGCTTTTCTGGGTTTGGCACTCGGTCTGTGTGCACAGATTGATTTGTTGCCTTCAAATAGTGAAAGGAGTCAAACTGCTCTCCATGAATCAACTCCAGATCTTTATAAGCCATCTGAAGAGAATGTTGTTTGTCCAGCAGAGGGCAGAACATGCAGCTTAAAGAGCCATGTGAGTGAAAGTTGTGAGCTAAATCGTTATTATCTTTGCTGTGTTTTTATTTTTATGTAATGTTTCATATATTTGCTATGGCAAACCCTGTTCAAGAAATGTGCTCATTACCAGAAAGCAGTTATGATTATAAACGATGTAGATTTTCATAATGCTATTCTAGATGAATTAATTGCGCTTGGGAATAATATATTTCTGTTCATTTTGATGTTCATAGCTTATGAAAACCCTGAATGTTGTTTTTCAGAAAATTTGAATGATGCATCAGACCAATAAAAAATATACAGGAATTTGGATCTTCTAAAAATGAAAATCGAATTATTTTTTAATGCAAATGTAGATTTATGAGCCAAATAATTTAATTTAAAAAAAAATATATTTTTAAGTTGTATTTGCCCAAGTTAGTACTTCCTTAACAATAAAATGCAGTGAAGTCATTTGTGATAATAAATACATCTTTTATTGGTTACATGCAGTCAAGAAATCAAATAATCCCACAAACATCAAAAAACATATTGCACTAAAACTGACCTACATTCCACATAAACCTAGAAATAAATTGTGCAAGGACTTAAAAAAAAGTTAAAACAGTCAAAAAGAGAACAGAAATAAAATTGAGAGATAGTTCAGATTTTTAGATGCACAAGTTAGATGTGAATAAACAAGAGTTCTGTTAAAAAATATCCAACATAATAAAAAAAAAAATAAATCAACAGTCTGCAGCATAAACAGCCATGGACCAAAATCACAATCAATAAAAATGTACTTTGTGTTGATCAAAGTTTGCAGAAACCTCCTTTGTTTGGCTCCGCCTTATCTTAACATTCACTGGGTAAGATACTGACTGCTCGTAATGTCTCTTGAACGTCACGGGTAGAAAATCTGAACTATCCCTTTAGCATGTCTGAACCTTCGCTGTGAACGCGGATCAATATGACCAATACTGTGCACTTCATGTCACAAAGTTTAAAGTTACGTTGTGTGACTCGCTACAAAGACACTAGTTCTGTAAATAAACGAGGCGCGCTTCAACACTTTCCAACACCAGAGAAAATGACTTCAAGCACAATTTAAACTGGCCGACAGGAGTGTGAAGGTTTAGCTGACATTATTGCTAAGTCAAAATGTGAGAAATTCTGTTTACACGTGAGAAAAGTTGTGTTTATTGTGCCAGATATGTAACATTTGCATAATATTTTCCTTTTTTCGACATGATGCACTCAACAAACCCGAGTCAGGTGAGCAGAAAGACCCTCACGGTCTTTCTCAGAGCCAGACAGATAAACAAACACCCACTACTCACACGTGGAGCCATCAGCACAGCAGTTATGAAGCACAAGAGTCGAGTCAGAACAAGAGTCGAGTCAGAACAACAGACGGCGTTAAACAACAAGGTGGGCGCAGCTGGAGACGGGGCAACGAAGCGTTTGATCTCTGTTCCTGTGCCGCAGGGTCTCACACAGCCAGGCGCACCAAGCCGGGCGAGGAAGCGGCGGGAGCGGAGGTGATGGCCGTCAGGGTCCCGGGGTCGAGCCTGTTCACCGTCCCGCTGCAACAAAGCCACAAAAACAATCTCACCATCCACGCATCACTTCCTCTGTACAGGATCCAAAACTGACTCAACGTGAACATCGTTCCTTTCATGAGTTCAGCAACTATCAGACACACAGATGAGATGGAAAGTATGAAAACGATCACACAAATAAAAGAGATTTGTGCGATCTACACACCCTAATGTGTGTAGATTAAAAGGTTTATAGACATTTTTCTGATATGTTTTTTTTGTCTTAAAAGATGAGGTAAAATTCAAAAGCAAAGACCTGCTATGTTTAAAAAAATAAAATAAGAAACTGAAAATAGTAGCTAATTTTCCATAGTGTTATGATTCCAGGTAGAGTTTGAACTGATTAGTAGCAACAAGTATCTCAAAGAGCTCACAACTTTCCAGAACTCACAGGTCATTTCCAGGAAGCAAAGATACATTTATTTCTTTTGCACTTTTGAGCCACAGGACGATTCAGAGGACTTTACACAATACATGAACACACTGGTTACTTCTCAGAACTGTTTTAAAATAAGCTAAATCTGCATCGGTAAAGGAATGCAACCAGTAAAGGAATGTTCCTGGTGAGTTCTGAAAAAGTTACAGAGAATTAATGTTAGCATGTAAGATACTCAGCAAATAGGTGGAACAAACTTGAAAACATCACAGCTCCTGGCAGGACAACGACCCTAAACATGCAGCCAGAGCGACAATGAAGGGTTTTGACTAAACATACTTATGTGTTGGAACGGCCCAGTCAAAGCCCAGAGCTAAATCCCATTGAGAATCTGTGGCGAGACTTCAATGATTCTTTCCAACCCTAATCGTTGGCTTGCTGCTTCCTTCTTCCTGTCCTTCCTACCTGCCTGCTAATCATATTGATGGAGTGACTTTCAGTTCACTCTCTCACTTTCCCACCTGCGTTTATTACATGATTGTACAGAAATAAACCTAGCTTATCGGTTTGCAAGGGTCTCCTGGTCTGGGTGATATTTTCAGCTAAAATTTTTGTTTTTTGTTCAATGAATTAATTTGTATCACTGCCAGAAGCTTAGGCCGACACTCTACCAGTTCAGGTCTGATAAAAGACTCCATAACGGGACGTCAGAGCTCTACCGCCACCGTCAATCAGCTCACTCCAGCCCACCGCCGCTGTTATTTCTACGTGATTAG